CCCAACCCAGCACCGAGTTTTAATAAACTAACCCAGAGGGTGGCCGTTTCATCAGGTCTAGAGGATTCTCCCCCTCCCTTTTTGCCCCCCCCCCAATTTACAAAATATAAATGAATAAAAATAAATATGAAACTGGAGATGAGTACAGTCACTAACTAAAATTGGTTAGTTATGGTGGTAAATAGTGCTTGGGGTGGCCCACTGTACCTTGTTTGAAAGGGGATTCTGAGTTTCTAGAAGCTTCTGGGAGTGGCTGATTTTGTGCCAGAACCCCTCCCTTTTTGCCCCCCCCCCAATTTACAAAATATAAATGAATAAAAATAAATATGAAACTGGAGATGAGTACAGTCACTAACTAAAATTGGTTAGTTATGGTGGTAAATAGTGCTTGGGGTGGCCCACTGTACCTTGTTTGAAAGGGGATTCTGAGTTTCTAGAAGCTTCTGGGAGTGGCTGATTTTGTGCCAGAAAAAAAGGGAGGAAGACCACAAAAATAGCTTCGGTGGTACTGTCCGTGCCCCCCAGTACTGCATAATACCCATGCCTGAATTAAATGGCAGCCTGGGTCCAAGGCAAAGGTCAGAATCATCTTGTAGAGTTCTGCCTGTGTAGCAGGAATCACATCGCTGGAAGTACAGTAGTAAATTTCCACCAGTTAAAGAGTTCCCTTTTTGGAACTTGGGGTGTGCATGACTTTGTCTCATTGCGGGTGAGTCGTGCACACTCCAAGTTGAAAAGGGGAGTCTTTAATTAGTCTTAGGGATGTCATTCCACTCAGTGTGTGCTTTGGAGTGACAAACCTGAACAGAAAGTTACATTTGGGGGGGGGGGCTTAGGACTCCCAGAATCCTCCTGCTGGCATCTCCTCCTCACGGAAAGCAGACAATAAAATGAGTGTAGGAAGCTAATGAGTCAGGCGAAACACATTCTGGTTGGGATGACCGTTTTCCTAACATGAAGAGAATTTTCCAGTCAATGAAATATGGTGTTGGTGTTGGGGAATGCTTTGTGAAATACGGAGTTATAGGGAAAGAAAAGGAACAACAGGAAAGGTGAATAAGCACTGGGAGGTTTTCTGAATCATTTCCCCTTCTCCATTCAGTGAGAACATGAGTAATACCATGATTTTGTTTTTCATCAATACAAGCCGTTCTGGTTCCCAAGTGTTTATACTTTGCGAGAAACTAGCAGTCAAGGTCAGGGGAGGTAAGACTCCTGATGAACCCTCCGACAGAGAGCCGCTTCCACTCCATGTTTAATTTATTTCTATTCTTTCCTTTCTGCTGTTATTGCCTCCACTCTCTTTCCCTGCTGTTTGTTTGCCTATTTATATCCCTCATTTTGTGGTTCATCCTCCTCTCCAGGGCTCTGGGTGGGCAGTTACGTAAAACATACAGGGATACAGCGGTGCCTCGCTTGACGAGGATAATCTGTTCCAGCAAAATCGCTGTAGAGCGAAATCCTCATCAAGCGAAATTAAAAAGCCCGTTGAAACACATTGAAAAGCGCTCAATGCGTTCCAATGGGCTAAATACCTCAGCGTCCAGCAAAGATCCTCCATAGGGCGGCCAGTTTCCAATGCCTGTGCAGCAAAAAAAATCTGTCCTAAAGCACAGTGGGAAGCCATTTTACACAGCGGGTGGCCATTGTAAAACCCAACGATCAGCTGTTTTGATCATCATAATACGAAGAATTGGATCATCGGGAAGCGAATTTTGTCAATTAAAACATCATTTTGCGATCGCAAAAGCGATTGCAAAAACCTCATCGTCAAGCAGATTTGTCATTTAACGAGGTAATCGTTAAGTGAGGCACCACTGTATGTGCAAAGAAAGCCAGCTGGTTTGGATGTCAAGGTGGCGAAAGATGGGAGGGATCCGACAGCAACGATGTGGGGAAGATACAAATCCCAACATTTGTTTTCATGGACGAGAGGGGGCAATCCCTTGTTTAATGCTGTCCCGTTTTGAAGGACCGTCAGGCCCAAGTCTGGTTTAAAGACAACTCTGTGATGGGTTGTTGTGTGTGTTCTAGGGCTGCGAGAGACCAAAGTGGAGAACGAGTGAGAAATCAGCAACAAGTGGGAAGGAATTTATTAATTGGTAGCTCCTTGCAGCTTGTTAAGGTAGCTCTGACATAGCTATGTCTCTTGCAGATCTGGACAGCCATAGCAGAGCTACCTTAACATGCTGCAAACAAGGAGGTTTGCCGATTTCCTCCCATTTCCATCCTAACTCCTCTGGTGGTCGACCAAAGCAAACTCACCCTGGGGAACATTACTTTCTGGGTGCGATTTCGCAGTAGATCCATTTGTGTTTTTCCTTGCTGTTTCCTTGAGCCCTGAGAAGGTCCATAGGCCACCTGAGCACACCTGGTCACTGGCAGTAGAGACCAGTTTTGTTATTGCCACAAGGCCCTTGCGTAAATGTGTAAATATGCAAGATGGCCTCCTCACAATTGACAGTGAAAGATCATTGAAGGTTTCTTCCTGTTAAGCCAAATCGCAAGGTATTTGTACAGCTTTCAAGTTTTGGTGCCTGATTTTTGAGCAAAAAATGCACAGAATTTTTTTAAGCTGTGTTTTCCACATAAAAGGTTGCATTCTAAATAGAAATCCTTGTATTTTACCCAAAAAAAACCAGTTGTTTTTTTAAAGGCAGATTTTTGTCTAAGGCAGCTGCTGCGGAAAAGAGGGCTGTTCCCCCCCCCTTGTGAAAAGTAAAAAATCTCACAGGTCAGATGTCAGATATATTTTTTTAAACAAGGTACCTTTTTATTTGGGGAGAGGATGTCTGAAAGTGTCAGGAACCCCCCGCCCCACTTTTTTAAAACTGAAAAATGAGGAAATATTCAAGTATTTGTGACATCCTTGTGCTGGTGTGATAGAACGGAGGTGCATGGGGGGAAAGTTAGATGGCAGGGTCGATGGTGTTTACGATGGGTTCTTGCCACCATCACGGGCAACCATAAGGGCTGAAAAAACAACAACTTTTTCCCCCTTGTGAAAAGTAAAAAATCTCACTGGTCAGATGTCAGATTAAAAAAAAAAAAAAAAAAAAGGTACCTTTTTATTTTGGGAGAAGGTGTCTGAAAGTGTCAGGAACCCCCCGCCCCACTTTTTTTAAACTGACAAATGAGGAAATATTCAAGTATTTTGTGACATCCTTGTGCTGGTGTGATAGAACGGAGGTGCAGGGGGGGAAGTTAGATGGCAGGGTCGATGGTGTTTACGATGGGTTCTTGCCACCATCACGGGCAACCATAAGGGCTGAAAAAACAACAACAACAAGAAGAAAAAACCAGGCCAGTCCGAGGACTCCCCTGAAACATGGAGTCAGCTTTTCTCTGATCAAATTCAGAGCCCGCAATGGTGTGGGTGTGGGTGTTAGGAAACCTGTTTGTGGTATTGCCCCGAGACATAAAGTAATATAATGAGGAGCAGAAATTAAATCAAATAGGGAGATTATAACCTTATTACTGCCCCTCTTTCCTTCCTACAATGCATCATCCTGACAAAGACACATACCTGGTTGTCTGTTATTGTCACATGGGCTCACAATAAAAGGCAACACATAAGAGGCGACTTTGTTTGTTTGGAGATGGGGTGGCATTCCCCCTTAAGGGGACGTGGTGGCATTGCAGGTTAAACCGCAGAAGCCTCTGTGCTGCAAGGTCGGAAGACCAGCCGTCGTAATATCAAATCCACGCGACGGAGGGAGCTCCCTTCGCTTGTCCCAGCTCTCGCCAACCTAGCCGTTCGAAATCATGTAAAAATGCGAGTCGATAAATAGGTACTACCTCGGTGGAAAGGTCACGGCCTTCCATGTCTAGTCGAGCTGGCCACGTGACCGCGAAAGATTGTCTTCGGACAAATGCGGGCTCTATGGCCTGGAAATGGGGATGAGCACTGCGCCCTAGAGTTGGACACGGCTGGACTCAATGTCGGGGGGAACCTTTAAGAGGTGACATACATGCTGTCAAGTCACCTCTGATCCTATGAACAAGCGTTCTCCCAAATGTTGTGTCCTCAACAGCTTTGCTGAGCTCCCTGGAAATCCAAGACTGTGGCTTCCTTGACTGAGTCAATGCATTTCCCGTTGAGTCTTCCTCTTTGCCTGCTGTCCTCAACGTTTCCCAGCATTGTTGTCCATGCATTATGAGACGATATTCCCAGCATTATCGTCTCATGGTATGCCCTATTTATCTCACGCCTTACATGGAACTTAACTGCTTTCCCAGAATTAACACGCAGTTGACCCTTGATGCAGGAGGCACCGTAGGGAATGGAATTCCCCACCTCTGGGCTCTGCAGCCAGAGACCTAAACCCCTGAGCAGCCAGCGCTTTGAGAAATACAGTCCTTTAAATCAACATTATATTGCTGACTTCTTTTGATTCCGCTCTGTCCAAGACCTGTCTCTTCTCTTCCTCCTGTGACATATTTTCTGTTTTTTTTCTCCCTTTCTTTCTCAGAGATATGAAAAATCTGGAATAGACGTTTTCAGGACGCCTTGTACTCCACGCAGAGAGAAAACTTAGAAGATTTTTTGTTTTGAAGACTTTCGTCCGATTGATTTGTCAAGATGACCTCCTGCTGGAAAAGCTGCTTCTTTGCGGCCGTTCTGATTCCCGTGGTAAGAAATCTGTAGGGAAACCTACACGCATGCTATCTTTTATCCATCCTGTGTGCATTCAACAGGGTGGCTTTCGCTGCCAGCCTTCGTTACATCCCATCATTTCGCAGCGGGCAGCTGAGGTACGTTCAGCGGAAAGTTTGGCTAAAAAAAAAGTTTGGTAGCAAAAGGAGAAATCCGTCTTTAAAGTTAGAATTTTGCTGGCAGGAAATGGTACCTCGTGGCTCATGAGAGAATCCAGGGGCAAGCTTTTCTGCCAGATTTCAGAAGTGTAAATCTCACAAGGTGCCACTTATGCCCACCTGGCCCTTCTGCCTAATTGAAAGATTATTCAGGTATTTAAAAAGAGAAAACTAAGACCAGTTTCTGAACGAAGGTGCTCCTTCTTGCCCTCGAATGATATCATTGATGGGAAGTGGGGAACGGGGTTTAACCCACTGTATCAATAGCAAAGTACAGTGGTGCCTCGCTAGACAGTTACCCCGCATGACCGTTTTTTCTGGTCGTTCTGCCTAATTGAAAGATTATCCAGGTATCTAAAGGGAGAAAACTAAGACCAGTTTCTGAACGAAGGTGCTCCTTCTTGCCCTCAAATGATATCATTGATGGGAAGTGGGGAACGGGGTTTAACCCACTGAATCAATAGCAAAGTACAGTGGTGCCTCGCTAGACAGTTACCCCGCATGACCGTTTTTTCGCTAGACATTGACTTTTTGGGATCGCTATAGCAATTCGCAAAACAGTGATTCCTATGGAGGAATTCCGCTGGACAATGTTTGGTCCCTGCTTCGCAAACCGATTTTCGCTAGACGACGATTTTGACAGCTCCCTCCGCGCTCGCAAAACAGGTGTTTTCGGGACCTAAGCTTCGCAAGACAATGATTTAAACAGCTGATCGGCGGTTCGCAAAGCGGCTTTCCTATGGCCGATCTTCGCTAGACAACGACGATTCTTCCCCATCGGAACGCATTAAACAGGTTTCAATGCATTCCAATGGGGAAATGCTTTTTGCTAGACTAGATGATGATTTCGCTAAAGAGCGATTTCAGTGGAATGGACTATCATCGTCTAGCGAGGCACCACTGTAATGAGCCGACCCGTATATGAACCTTATTGTTTTCGTGAGTTTTGAGGTTTGGGGGAATTTGGGCCTAGATGTTCAAAGGAGATGGTGTTTCGGAACACAAATCGGATGCAAGGACAGAGGGCTGTTTTTCCAATTAGTCTTTTGGAACACATGAAACCATCTGATGAATCTTCATCTGTGGTGATGCTGCTGTGGTCGTCTCTTTATGACCTCTGAGTTCTTCTAAGGTGTGAGAAATGCCTCTAGGTTCCAGACAGGAACCTTGGGGCGTTCAAGAAGGTGGTCTACACCAAGGTTGTTTCCACCAGTGACAGCGGGGTGCACAGTTGTTTAGCTGTGGAGCAGGGTTTTACCGAAACAAAATAACAGAAAATAAAATGACACTCCGGGAGTGTTACTTTTGGCTAGTGTTTTTGCCATGGCAATGGCACTTATTCCCCCCAAAATGCCATTCGAACTTTTCATCCGTGAGCTTTGCATTTTATGGTTACTTTACTTGTAAAAAGTTAATATTCCAATTCTAAATAATAATAATAATAATAATAATAATAATAATAATAATAATAATAATAATAATAATAATAATAATGATGATGATGATGATGATGATGATGATGATGATGATGATGATGATGATGATGATGTGGTGTTGTTGTTGTTGTTGTTGTTGTTCTTCTTCTTCTTCTTATTATTATTATTATTAATAATATTATTATTATTCTGCTGCAGTTTTTATATCCTTAAAGCTTGTGATGAACGGCAGCTATAATATGGAATATCTTGAATTGTATAGACTTCCTTCTTGGCAAAAGTCAGTTATTCCAGTGGGACGGGAGGGGGGCTTTTCAAGAGAGGAAGGGATGATGGCAGCTACCTATATCCGTATGATTGGGCTATCCATTGAATTCTTCTCTGGAGGCTTACCCGAAATCCCATGGTCTTCGGAGGTATCAACTAGGAGACGTGACAGGGCCTTCTTGGCCGTGGCACCAATTTTCTGCTTACTCTATATTAGCTTAGTAATGCCCGTCCTTATATTTTCACCGGGTTCTCCTCCTCTCTGGGGTTCTGTGGCTCTGCTATTTGATTTTCACTTTCTCAAGAATCATGGGAGAGCTCTGTGGTTTGGGGGGGGGTTCGATTCCCCGTGGGGGCCTCCTCGGCAAAGGCTGGCTCTGAGGATCCATAAGGGTCCCTTCCAGCTCTCTTGTTCTAAGATCATTATCACAAGATTATTACCTTTGTTGTGCTGGTTACTGTTGTTACCCAGTTGGGGGTGGGCAGAGGGTGTCCACATGCCCTTGGGGAAGTAACCTATCAGCCACCCAAGCAACGTCGGGGCCTTCCTCCACCCCATGTCCCCACCTTGAGTTCCTCTGGGTCTTTGCTGTGAGTGTTTCTCCTCACCCTCCCTCAGCAGTGACCCTGGCCACAAGTTGGCTAGCGCTCTCCACTGAAGCCTGCCCAGCTTCTCCCGTAAGGTGGTGAAACATCCGTTCTGGGCATGGTGTCGTTGCATGGTTTGGTTTGCTTCCATCTCTTCTGGGTTGGAGCGGTCCTGCTGCCCTCTCATGCCAGGCCGGGTAGTAGTCAAGCAGGAGCAGTCCTTGATGGGCGATACCAGGAGAGGTGGAGTCCACTTCCCACCGGAGCCTGGTCAGATCAACCTCCTTGTTTTCCTCCTCTCCCATGTCCATGACCTTGTCTTCAGCTTAAGCATCCTTTCCTCCAAAATCTGAGGTGTCCGTCTCATCTATCTCCCCCCCTGCCCTTCTTGGGCTCTGCTTTCTCCCCTGATGGCGCCACGTGCCCAACGTAAGCGACGGGTGGCTCCTCCCTCTCTCTGGAACCAGTGCCCTCTGGTGGTTGGGTTGGGTTTTTCTCCTGCATTGCCGCTGGCCAGCCACGCCCTTCCTCCCTGATTGGTCTCACCAGATGCCCATAACAGGGTGCCGGGCGCTGACAGGGGCCAATGTAGGGGAAGGCATAGGGGTGAAGCCAAACCCACACAAGTGACTATTGCAAATTGTTTCAAACCATATTCTGAACTCTTCAGAATGCACAGACGGAATATTTGGCAACCAGACCTTATTACATATCATGTCTCTCTCTCTCTCTCTCTCTCCGTCATGTAACCTACAACCAATGATTTATTTTTCCTTTGTTCCGACGTGATAATTTATGTTTTAATTTAATTTGCAATGTTTCATTGGCTCAATTCTATTCTGCCGACATTCCGTTCACTTAAAGAACTTAAAAATATTCTAAGCTGCCTATATTTAGATACAAATTATTCCACAGTGACTAAACTCTCCTGGGCTATGCGTGTTTTTTAAGGCACCTCTTTCTCCTGCTCCCGATAGTGACATTTTCTCCCACACGCGTTTAGAAGCCCCGTCTTGAACCAGATGCCCCTGTGAGAGGAGATGACGATTAGGGCTGTGCAAACGTATCCCACTTAACTGAGAGTAAGTCAAGCTGACTTCAGGAAGATTTACTTCTGAACAGACATGTGGAGGTAAAGGATCTGGGGGGGGGGGGATGGACTGGAAAGCTCTCTCTCTTCCTGAAGGTTGGAGTGGCTTTTTTTCGAACTGCGGTTCCCATAATGCTCCAGCCAGCATGGCTGTGCTGACTGAGGATTCTGGGAGTTTTAGTCCAAAAAGGTAATTTTTTTCCCCAAACTGTGTCTGAGACTCAAGTTAGCTGTCATCTGATAAAAGTTGTTCTTCCGTGGTGTCGAGATGCCCCCAACTTATGGCAATGGATAAATGACTGATCTCCGAAATGCCCCGTCCTCAACAGCCCTTCTGATCTCTTGCAAACTCAAGCCTGTGGCTTCCATTACAGAATCATTCCATCTCATCTTGGCTCTTCCTCATTTCCTGCTTCCTTATTGTCTTCTCCAGAGAATCCTGCTTTCTCAGGATGCGCCCAAAGTAGGACAGGCTCCATTCCATCATTTTTCCCTCCAGAGAGAGTGTTCAGGCTTGACTTGATCTAGGACCCACTTGTTTGTCTTTCTGGCGGTCCGGGATATCCACAAAGCTCTCCTCCATCACCAAACATCAAATGAATTGATTTTTCCCCTCCCTGTCACCTTTCTTTCCTGCCCAGCTTTCACACCCATACCTAGTGTTTGGAAATACAAGAGTGTGGATCATCGTGGTCTTCGTCTCTAGTTCCTTCATTGCTATCCTTCCGAGTGTCCACCTTCTTCTGATTACTTGGGTGCAGTTTTCCTTTTGGATTAAGAACTGAACCAAGACATGAACGTCCTTTCACTATTTCAATTTCTTCATTGTCCGCATTAAGGTTGTGTCGTTCTTCCGCAGTCAGGTTTTTTTTGTCTTCTTCGTGTTCTGCTGCAGTCCTGCTTTGGCATTTTCTTCTTTCCACTTTCACCAAATGTCGTTTCAAGTCCTAGCTGCTCTCTGCTAGTAAGATGCCGTCATCTGGACATCATCAAGGACGGATGCTTCTCCCACCAAGTTTCACTCCCCCTTCATCTGAATCTAGTCGGGCTTTCCATATCATCGGTTCTGCTTACAAATTGTGAACAGAGAAGGCAATAAAATGCACCCTTGTCTGATACCTTTGCCTCTAGAAAACCATTCTATCGCTCCGTATTCTGTCCCAACAGTAGCTTGTTGTCCACAATACAAGTCATGCGTCCAGAACAATCAAGAGTTGAGGCACACCCATTTATTCCAGAACAGCCCATAGTTTCCAGTGATCCACACACAGTCAAGGCTTTGCTGTTATCTATAAAGCACAGACTGGTCTTCTTCTGTAACTCTTCGGTGTGTTCCAGCATCCAGCAGATATTCGCAAAGCCACTGGGCCTTCCTAGCCAGTGTAGGTGGGTGAAAAATTCATGTCACGTCATTTACCGAAACGTCAAATCACACAT